ACGTGGTGGCATCAGTAAACATTAGTGTATAACACTGTGAGACTTTATCAAAAAAGATTTACCCATAATGGAACCACAGGTTGCCGTCATTTCAGATGACTGTTCACCTACAGAATTACAAATGATATCGATTTCCACCGATTGACTATACTGACATCGACTAATTAATTATATTGGGTCACAACGTTGTATCAGACAGGCTAGTTGGTATATATTCCCCTTAATTAGCCAACCCAATCAGCCCTAACCACGGTTGTCGTTATCATCATCATCAAAACTTGGCATCAGCCCATGAAATTTTTGACAGTTAGTTTTAGCCAGCCAAGTACGGATGTGCGTCTCTGTGACAGCGGTTAAGACGCTCGCCAACCATGTACATGGTCCGGGGTTCGATCCCCGGCCACAGACGCACTCCTGCTTTACCTCGCTAAACCAGTAATAAGACTGGTAAAGAGGAAAGGTTGGGCATGACTCTAGCAACTCCATCCTGTAAAATTAAACACTGCTACAGAAACTTGAAGCCACTAGCTTGAGGCCCTATGTTCCACTGGGAACGCAAAGAAAATAAAATAAAAAAAATAAATGTACGAATGTGTGCAGACTGACTGGTTGGCAGTCTAAGAATCTGGGGTTGGAGACAATTGGCACTATGCCTCAAAATAATTCTCAATGAATAGCGCAGATGCATTCAATCTCTTTGTAATATGCCACATCCATTAAAGCCTCTTGTTATTCCATATCACCACCAATCTTTCTCCCTCATATTTCTGCTGATTATAATACTGTTGAATCCCCTTCTATTGTCTTTCCACTCTCTTTTTTGTGTAGTACGTGGAAGTGCAGCAGACATGCTGACTCCATTATTGTAAAAGGTCTGGAAGGAGGGAAAGGTGCCTCCTACCGACTGGAGGAAAGGTTACCTCGTGAAACTACCAAAGAAGGGCGACTTAGGACTCAGCAAGAACTGGCGAGGAATCATGCTTCTGTCGATGCCAAGTAAAATCCTGAGTTGCATCGTCTTGGAGAGAATAAAGGACGCACTGGAGACAGAACTCCGACCAGAACAAGCTGGATTCAGGAAAGTCAGACAAATCATGTTCTGACCAAATTGCAACTCTAAGCATCATCATCACAGAACAAAGCATGGAATGGCAATCAAACCTCTACCTCAACTTTATAGACTTCGAGAAGGCCTTTGACAGATAGCGTTGACCGCGAAGTAATTTGGAAACTACTCGAGTACTACGGTGTGCCCCAAAGATTCATCAACCTTATTCAACAGCTGTTCGACAATGACACGTGTCAAGTGATCTACAACGGAAGACTCAGCGAGGCGTTTGGAGTAAACACAGGAGTCAGACAAGGGTGCTGGCTTATTATCGCCAATGATATTCCTAATTGTGGTGGACTGGATTATGCGTCAGACATTGAGTGGGAAACGAGAAGACAGGAATATCCTGGACCGACGCGAAGAACCTAGGAGACATGGATTTCGCGGATGACTTATGTTTGATGTCACACACAATCGAAGACTTACAAGCGAAAACGGACAAACTGGTCGAAGAAGCTGACAGTGAAGACAAGACTCCAGGTGAACATAGACAAGACGGAGGTCATGAAAATAACCAACCAACAACAACAACAGCAGCAACATCTAGCGTCAATCACCATCAACGGGAGGGATTTGAAAGAGGTCACCTCATTCACTTATCTAGGGAGCATTGTCTCAACTACACACAGTCGGAACGGACGAGGATGTCAAATCGAGAATCGGGAAGGTAGGTGAGAAACACATTCATCAAAGTGAAATCAATCTGGAAATCTTCGTCACTCAGCATCAACAAAAAATTCAGTTGGATTTTCAATACAAACTTCAAATCAGTCAGTTCTCCTACACGGATGAGAAACTTGGCGGGTGGGTCACAAAGAACATTTCCAACAGGCTATTGCAGACCTTCATCAACAACTGTCTTCGCTCTCTACTGAAGATCAGATGACCGGGTCGGAAAGAATCACCAACAAGAAACTATGGGAAGAAACAAAACAAGAACCAATCGCCGCCCAACAAATATGCAGGAGAAAGTGGAGATGGATTGGACACTCGATGAGGAGACTGCCGGGTGATATCGCACGCGCCTCAGGTCATCTCTCCAGTGGAATCCGAAAAGGAAGCGGCGAGTTGGTCGTCAGTGCAAGGGTGACATGGAGGAGGTCGTGTGAAGAGGAGTTGAAAGAGTATGGACTAGCATGGATGCAGGTGAAAAGTACAGCAGAAGGAAGACAGCAGCAAGTGGAGACATGCAGTTGAAGCCCTATGTTCCACTAAGAACCCAAGGGAGCAATAATAATAATAAATAATACGTGGAAGTGCTGCACTTCTGTGCAAAGTTGTTCTATGTTGAAACCAGGCAGACTGTGTCAGTCATCATCAAGCAAACTGCACAATAAGCATAAAGTTACAAGGAAAATAATTTAAAAAATAAAGGGAAATTACTACAGTGTAAAGTATACGGTTAACTTACGCCTTCATAAAGAGAAACTCATTAACAAGGTTAAATTTTCAATAAAGTAAATAGTCCCTCTTTGAAGCAGTTATCTACGTAAAAACGTCACCCAAATAATTTATTGACAAGATAAGAGAACCACGGTAGCAATTTCAGCAAATATTACTCAACAACCAATTGGTAAATCCATACAGTTGAGATAGTTAGCTACACCTCTTGTGTGAGGACAGCTCTAAATGACAATATCATTTGTCAGTCAAGTGGTCCACGATGGACAACTCAGCAAAGCCTTTGAAGTGAGGACAGGAGTAAAAAAAAGCTGACTAATATCAACGCGATATTCCAAATTGTGGTGCACTGGATTACATGAAACACCCAACATACGGGGTGAGAGGATAGGAATATGTTGAACCGATATGAAGACTCTAGAAGATCTGGACTTCGGGGACAATTTATATCATGTAAATTAGAAGACTTAAAGGCAAAAAACAACAACGGTTGGAAGCATAGACAGGACTTCAAGTGAACATAAAGAAAACACAGGTAGCGAAGACAACCAAACAACGAAAACAACAACAACCAGCACTAATCACCATCAACACCAGACACTTGAAAAAGGTCACTCACTTCACCTCCCTAGGAAGCATCGTTTCAACTACAGGTAGACGGAACAGATCATGATTTCAAAAGCAAAGTGGCAAAATCAAGGAACACCTTCATTATTCTGAAATCCGTTTGAAAATCAGCTGCATTTAGCCAGCAAATTCGAATTCTCAACACTAGTATTAATTCACGCCTTCCACGTGGTTGAGAAACTTCGCGAGTCACAAAAATCATTTCTAACAGGTCACTGAAGACTTTTGTCAGCAGTTGCCCTCGTTACTGGTTCCATACTGAAGACTAGGTAGCAGTCTGGCCAGAAAGAATTATTGACAAGAAACTCTGCGAACGAACCAATCGAGGACCTATTGCTCAACAAATACGTAGAAGGAAATGGAGGTGAATCTGAAACACATTGATGAGACCATTTGGTGACATTGCACATTAGTTCATCGCTCAAGTGAAACCCGAATGGGAAACGACTAATCGGGCGTCACTTAAAGGGTGACATGGAGGAGACATGTGAGGACCACATGATAGCTTATAAGCGAGGGCGGAGCCAGTTAAAAAGGACTGTAAAGGACAGGACAAGGTGGGGATTCACTGTTGAAGCTTTATGTTTCACTTGGAACCCAAGGGAGAATAATAATAATTATTATTGTGTAAAGGCTAGTTATACCACCCACGGGCTAGCAAAATCTTCGCTATGTGGAGTGGAATTCGAATCTGTAACCTACTTAACTTGAAGTGTCAAGCAACTAGAGCAGTAGGCCACAGTTCCTTAGTGTAAACATTAAGGCACTTCACCACCAGTTAAAAATAACAAAAGTATATAGAAGAAAGAGACTCACAGTTTAAATCACGGTTCCTACTAACTAGAGTACTTGAATAAGGTGTTATTTTTTTCCTTCACGTTCCCACTGGAACACAGGGCTTCAAGCTAGTGGCTTGAAGTTTCTGTAGCAGTGTCTATTTTTTACAGGATGGGGTTGCTAGCCCCATGCCCAACCTTTCCTCTTTAACAGCATTACTTCTGGTTTAGCGAGGTAAAGGAGTGAATAAGGTGTTAAGCTGTCTAAATACAACAGATGATGGAGACACGCTTCTTGTGAGGAGTGTTGACTAATAATGTGTAGGTGAGTGGAACTGATTTTGAGACAATGTATGAGTGATTGACAGTTAAGTTGAGCGTTTGTCACTCTCTCTCTCTCTCTCTTTAATGAACGATAAACACCATCGATTAAAGCAACAACAAATAAAGAAGACCAAACAAATAACTTACATCTTCATGAGTTGAAAATCCTCGACACAGTAGGGATGTATGATAACCAGATAGACCGAATACAGTCCACATTGCCGAGAAAGATATCAATATCTCAATTATTGTTTGACCAATAAAAATAAGACAAAATTAATTTATTTTTATTTTATTTATTTGTTTTTTTGCAATTGGATTCATTCAACATCCCATGATATTAAATGATGATTATATACAGAAAACAGAATTAGTTAAGGTGTTTATAGGCGATTCAATGAATAATAATAATAGACACATACATGAATATAAAACAAAGTCCACGATTACAAAATACAAAAACGATTAGGTGTACCCAACCACAAATGTGAAATTACTAATTACTAAACATCTATCTATTTCATTATGGATAAAACTTTGATTTTGATAAAATATCAAACACACACACACACAGACACAATGTTGTTATACAGTAATATTTACTGATGCGGCCATGATCCGAGCACAAATTATCAGTCACTCAAAACCATATCAAGGCACTACTCACACAACTTTCTTGCTTCATTTATATACAAGAGTAAAAATTAATGATTACACATTTGAATAAAATCAATATAAGATAAAGTACATTCGGAAACAGTAAGTGTTATCAATACTAATAATGATAACATAAATAAGAGAGAATATATAAGGTATCCACAGTTATACCATATAAGTAAGGGACATCTGAAACCCTCCCTATGTAGGATTCTCAACAATGCAGGAACTAGGGTAGCATTCAAACCCTCCTAGAAACTCACTCAGGCAAGAAAAGCTCTGTAGGCTAAAGGATCCGGTAGGTTGACTCATTCAAACAAAACAATATAATTAACAGGATACCTTGAAATGACTGTGAGTTAGGTCAACTACATAGGACAAATTAGTAGTGGATCAGGAGTAGTAAGATTATCAGAGCATAAGAATTTAGCTAGGGTTAGAATGATTGACTGCACGAAGATAAGTAATTTAGAAAAATACTCAGCTATAGCACTGCATGCATTAACACACAACCACACAATAGGGTGGGTGGGACGGAGTCAAAATTTCAAAAAGGTAGGTGGAGATAGAGACAGAGATTGATTACTGAATCCTGGTTCATCGAGTGTGCACACCCAGCACATGCAACAGAAATGACTCAACGCAAATAACCAGAGATATGGAAGACACTAGTACCACTAGTCAAATCAGAGAAGGATAATAAATAATGTTAAAATGTATTCCATCAATTCACATTATAACATTCTAACAAGTTACTTATTTATTTTACGATGAAAACATCTTATTTCCCATCTTATTGTATTTTATTGATAACACTAATATTGCTATTTCCGAATGTACTTTATCTAATATTGATTTTATTCAAATGTCTGATCATCAATTTCTACTCATGTATGAGGCAAGAAAGTTATGTGTGAGTAGTACCTTGATATGATTATGAGTGGCAATGATAAATTGTGCTCGAAACGTGGTCGCACCAGTAAGTATCACTGTACAACAACACTGTGTGTGTGATTTTATCAAAATAAAATTTTATCCATAATGGAGTTATACCCTCTACCACAGTGGGCAAGTTTTATCCTTATACCAATAAACATCTATTTATTTTCAAGTATTTATTGGTTTTGTAAGGATTTTGTTTGATTGGATGGAGAATTTCTTCATGAGCTAACATCGATTAGAGAACCACTGGATCAGGTCCCAATGACTCAATGGTCTACGAGCTCGTCTTGTCCTGGGTTCGAACCCCGGTGGGTGTATACTGATGAAGAGTCCTAAACTAGGACGAAATAGCTGTCCAGGACTCTGTGCAGGTTTTCTAGTGGTTCTCTAACTGATGTCAGCTCATGATGAAATCCTCAGTGCAATCTATTTATTTATTTTTTCATAAATACCAACTGTTCAGAGAATGGATTTTGTTGATCTAGTGAACGACATACGTCATTCTGTGTAGCCAACAAACAATAGGTGGTAAGCTTGATCACGAACAGACATCAGTTAGAGAACCATTGAAAACTAACAGGAAATATAATAGACAGCTTTTTCGTCCTAGTCTGCAATTCTTCGACGGTAGCAGCCCCCCCCCCAGAGTTCAAAACCCAAAGCAACCAGGTCATAAGGTCAACTTATAGAACATTCAGTCAATGTGACCCAATCGAATTTCCTAAGGAGTCTAACTTTCTACCAGTTGATGATTTTAGCACGATCACTAGCTAGTGTCATCGGCGACATGCTGGACCCCATTGGTCACTACAGCTCCTGTTCACCTCCTAGCTGGAGAGTCGTGGATTCAAACTCTGGATGGTGTGTGTGTGTGCGTACTGCCGGAAAGTCCCAAACTAGTACAAAACAACTGTCCAGTACTCCTTACTGGCTTTCCAACGGTTCTCTGACTGATATCAGCTCGTCAATCAACTTAAAACAAATAAGAACCCCTACAAACTAACTACTCTTGAAAGCAATAGATGAGTTCTACAATTCTCAAAACATATCGAAACTTACAATACTTTATGAGTGTAGTATAACAAGTTGAGAGCATCCAGGAAATTCATAGACATTTCTGTTCGGTAAGTGAAATTCGGGTGGTTCCAACTAATTTAGCTCTCTCTCAGTTGGATCTCTCACCTGGCGGTACACCACTGATGGATGGAAGAAATCGGCAGTAAGCCATGTCAAACCTATGTTCCATGTTTTCTGGCACTCAACAATCAGTAAGACTCAACTTCAGTCTTTAAGGAACTTATGTTCCTTAGGTGTTGCAACTCACCTCACCCAGTGCCGCAGCCAGAGACGTTACCTAAACACCAAACAAAAGATTAGATGCATGGCACCAGTTAGTCTCCAATAAAAGTATTTCATACTGTCTGAATGGAGGTCAATCGAAAGCCTGAAAACCTCAGTGGTAACGTCTCTGACTACAGCACTAGATGATACGGGTTCGAATCTCAGAAGCGAGATGAGTTCCTTCAAGGTAATTTCTGACTGGTGAGGACCATAAACAAGCACGAAACCTGAGTGGAAGGCTTCCTACGGCCAGTTGCCACCACCAAGCATCTAAGAACATAGAATTATTGAACAATACACAAGAATAAAATACTTCTTGAAATCTTTATAATGATGAATCTGTGACCGGCACTCCACCCCTCGCCCAGTTGATTGACAAACGAGCACCTAGACCAGTGTGAGGCACGCATTTCTCCTTCGTAAAATTGAACTCGAAAACGACTTTTTTTATTATTTCATTAAGCGTCTTTCACATGAACACAAATTATATCACACTATGTTGTGTATATGAGAATTGTACATGGGGCGTTTTAAAATACACATATAGGCACACACACAAACACAAACACACAGATAGACAAACATATGAACGTGACATACAATGTGAGATAAACATTATTTTTTCAAATAACAGAAAAAGTGCATCTGATGCGAAAAGGATATGAAGCAGGTGAAATCTTGATAGCCACTACAATATCTTCATATTTTTTGTATACTGCTCCGAGGTACAATCGAATCATCACCATCATCATCGTCATAATCCATAGCAGATAATGAAAATAGAGAGAAAAAAAACAGACAAATCAGAAATAAAGTCAACATCTAAAACACACAATGAATGTGAATATAAATAAAATTATCGTCAGAGAAAAACAAAGGTGACAAAAACATCAACAAAACACGTCACAGAACACCACCATCTTTCACAAATAATCGATATTGCATTGAATTGCAGTCAAGAAAATAGCACCGTTTTTTCTGCATCATCTAGAATTTATTGATGGAATGTTTAAATTTCACATATCGGTTGCATAATTATGATGACGTTGATGATGATGATGCGATTTCGCACGTGACTATTCAGTTTAATTTAATTTAGTGTTCAACAAGCACACTTAAAATTTCATGTAGTTGGCAATAAGCCAAATCTATTGTGTGTGTGAGAGAGGGAGAAAGAGACAGGGGCCCGAACCTCGGTATGTGGAGAGGAGTGCGAAACCGTTACGCAATCAGACACAGTTCTACCTGTAACATAGACGACATAATGTAAAATACGTCAGACCGACATTCCCTTACATATAGCGCAACCAAACAACATAGTTACATCTGCAATTACTAACTTTTTTTAAAACAAGACTAACAATCAGAAAATGTTGAACAGGTGTCTTATTTTCCCTGTCCTATGCCTTTGCCTTGCCTGTGAAACATATAGCTTCAAGCGTCAGCCTTGAAATTTCACTAGCAGTGATTTCATTTTCACGGGGTGACGGGAGTTCGCCAGCCTCACTCACCCTTTATCGAGCATGCAGCTGGCTAGGCGAAGTCTGTAGGAGAGAATCAGCCGGGGACCGAACTCCCGATAACGATGAGTATTCTATCACAGAACCACCGACAGTGTCTTTTATTATTCCTTTGGGTTCCGAGTGAAACATAGGGCTTCAACAACACGTCTCCGCTTTCTTCTATTTTCTGTTGTCCTCTTCAACTGCGTTCACGATTGACTATAATCTCTCATCTCTTCATCCTCCACAAACGATCTCCTCCATGGCACCCTCGCACCGACGACCCATTCGTCACTTTCCATTCGGATTCCACTCGAGTGATGGCCTGCATTGCGCGAGATGTCATTCGATGGTTTCCTCAGATGAATGCCCGATCCATCCATCTCCATTTTCTTCTTCATATTTGCTACGCGATCAGCTCTTGGCTGGTTTTTTCTTAGACACAGTTTCTTCTTGTTAATTCTTTTTGGCCGGTCAGCTGGCCATTTGATCTTCAATATGGACCTAGCCAGCCAGCCAGCGAAGGTAGCAGTTTTTGATGAAAGTCTGCAACCTGTTTGAAATCTTTTTCGCGACACACACACACTCAGTGCAAGTTTCTGACCCATATGGAAGAACTGACTGACTGACTTCACATTTGTGTTGAATAGAAACCGAATCTTGTTCCTTATGCTGACTGGTTGAGTGAAGCAAAAGATTTGCAAAGTGGTTTCATCAGGTTGATGAAGGCATATCTTGCCTTTCCGATTCTGGCTAGGTGACTTTAACATCTTCATCCGTTCCGCCTGTAGCTGAAAGGATGCTTCCTACATAAGTGAAGGAGGTAGCTTCTGTTAAATCACTCCCGTTGATGATGATTGGTGCTGGTTGTTGCGGTTAGTTGGTTGGTCGTCTTCATCATCTCCGTCGCCAACAGCGTCTAGCTAAGTTTCTTCTTTTTGTTTCTCGACTGACAGATGAAGATTATTGCATACAGTTAGTATGTGATCTAGTTTACTACCTAATGCAGTTACAGACAACTTGACTGAATGATTTTGTTGCTAAACTTCAAAGCAATGAGATATATTGAACCAATGAACATGGCCTATTACGAAAAGCATAAACATGCATATGCTTTTGACAGCAACATATATATGGAATAGTTTCGACGGACTTCTAAGCTGCATAAACTTTCAAAAGACATTATTATCGTATTTTCGATGTTACGTAGCTGATTTGAAGTCTAGATATCAAAGTACAGTACAACCTTCTGTGTGTGTGTATCTGTGGGTGTACAGCTAGTCAGCATTGTTGAGATAAGATGTAGAGTGTTCGAGAATGAAGGAAAATCAGTCAATTCGTGAAGATACAGTGTCTGAGACGGCTAGGACACGTACTGCACATCCCGAGCTATCGCCTTCCTCGCGAGTTGACCCAGACCTAGGTTGGCAAAAAGTGACAGCTGGCCAAACCAAAATCTGACACCAATTCATGGAGTCTTTGATTGTAGATCTGAGCCATGTAAGAAGGTGTCAAGTGCCTGGTTCAGGTCTTTGGGATTCTGATAACTAATGGCTACAAGTTATTGGTGATATGGGAGTAGAAAGCGTTTTCAACGGCGTAGACATATTCACCCTTTGTAGTTGCAATACTGAAAAAGGTTTACAGTGAAATTTCCTCACAGCCACATATGGAGATCAGTTCTACATAGACATGAGGTGTGCTCCCATCACTTCATACATTTAAAATCTTTAATTCATCCAGTGAAATTCATATTTTTTCCGGAGAAACACAACAGACAAGTAAGTAAATACGCCACAAATAAAATCGCTTAGAAAATGAGCACTTACAACAGATAAGCAATTTCACAAACAAATTTATCTTGCTTTATGCAACACTCTGCATCCAGCCTCAAAGGAGTCCAATTTTCCCATAGCAATCGCATTAGAAACCGTATCTGAAAGTCGTGATACGGAAGGACTAAGGCGTAGTGCACTAACCATCAAATCAAATACGATGCAATTTAAAGAATGCTAGCTACACGCGACAATCCACTAGAGCGATTAGACACCACTACAAATAAATGAAGTAGTTAATGTGCTTTCGACAACTGTATTTCCCTACACCTAAGCAACAAGAAATCAATCTGTTTGCATCCGTCAAGACTACCGTTAATCTACTGCTTTCGCTTCTTACAGGCTTAGAAGTAAAAATCAGAAAAATAGATATAGATATATATCTGACTTAAACATCGCACAGTCTACTAGTTCGCTAGTTCTCTCTCTAGTCAGTTCTAAGTCCCAGAAAAGAATGAAGGTTGGGCACAACAGTAATGACCCTAACCCAGAAAACCAATCCAATCGTTACAGAAACAACACAGAACAAACTCATTCTTCGCTGGAATCGGAGAGAAGAAAACCTTCAGGAAATCAGTCAGTCGATGTGTCTTCTTTCGATGAAAGAGCAAATAAGGACGGGTATGTGGAATGTGGAACGCTGTCTCTGCAGGACTGCTTGTGTTCGATGACATCATCGCGTGAGTAATTCTGAGGTTCGGCGGCGTGTGTTTCAACAAAGTGGAGATCACGATTCATTGAGTGTCATCATCTGAAAACACCGTCTCCGGTGGCTTGGACATGTGCTGCGAATGTCATGCCAGAGGCTCCCGTACAGGTCTCTGTTCGCTAGTCAGCCCTGGGACGGAACGGAAAAGGTGAAGGGGTGGTCAATCCGTGACGTGGCGTCGTGGGATGAAGGATGTTTGTGCTAGATTAACATCGGTTGGTGCGTCACGACTCCCGCGAGATAACTCGAATCGATGGCTCGAAACGTGATCGGATATGGCCAAGAATCGCAGTCATCAATGGAGAACGTGATGCAATTTCTTTCTTTCTTCCCTCCCCGATGATAGTTGACGAATACTGTTTGAACTTGTTAAGTAGTATGACTGTTTTCTTTCCAGATGAGGTTCTTTATCCGTTTTCTACTTATATTTTTTTACTTTTGATCTATGTTGTTTTATTATTATTGTGTGGCGCATCTTTCTTGGTGTCATGTTGTAACGAGTTTTTTATGCGTTTAAATAAATAAATAATGTGGAATGTTCGTGCAATGTATGCAGCTGGAAGGATTGCCCAGCTTGCCGAAGAAATGCGAATATATGCTATAGGAGTACAGGGAAAATAGAGATGAATCGGATACATTCTGAGAATACCCTTAAGTGACATTGCCCGAGTGGAACTCGAACGGGAAACGATGAGTGAGCCATCCGACGGTGAAAGGCAAGAGAACGTGTGAGGAGGAGATGAAAGCTTATGGACAATTGTGGGGTCAGCTGAAGAGCACTCAAGAGAACAGAGTAAAATGGAGACGTACTGTTGCAGCCCTACGTTCTAATTGGAACCCAAGAGAATAATAAATTATAATATAACTCAACACTTGTGTTCAACGAAAATACTATCAACAATCTATTTTTTTTTATTTATCACATGCTACAGTGTGAATAATAGATCGAATAATCTGTACGCCGATTGTTTAAATTCGTTATTCAACTTTAATTATCGCTTGCTAACCTTTGTTCTTCACCATAATTGAACAGAAACCTGAATCTGATCAATACTAACATATAAGCACATGCCTGTGAATATATATATATATATATATATATATATATATATATATATGCCTATATATGTGTTTAGCAGCAAAGGATGAGTATTTAACGAGGACAAACAATTGCATTTCTGTTGTTCAGTTAGTTTTCTACAAAATAGATAGGAGTGCAAAAGAATCGATTTTATTTCATATCTCATAATTATAAACCGTTTAGCTATAGGAGCTAAGTAGTTGTTGTTAAATCACTCAGTACAGCCTCATGTAATGATTCATGAGTAAATTTCTGCACTTACTGTCTTCACATATGTATATCAGGTTCCACTCACAAATAGCATATAACAAGAGCAGGATACTACAAATGCTAGCATAAATGATGTGTTATGGTAGGCTGTAGGCGACATTTGGTCTCCCCAACGAAATAGCTACCAGAGGGATACATGAGTAAATGCTACCTGGTGTTGAATCCTGTTTCACTGCCTTCATATGATGCGAAGGGGTATTTGAACTCCGGGGATGAAAGAACCAACAACGGTGTATTCAAGCTCCATGAACTGATCCGAGAGGTTGTTTGATCGCAAAAAAGTAGAAAGTACCAGACAGCTGTTTCATCCTAGCTCGAGACTCTTCGTCAGTACTTACCCACACCAGAGTTCAAAACTCTAGGACCATATCGATCGTGTCTCAGTGGCTGAATTCTCTACGAGCTTACCTTTTAACCGGAAGGTCCCAGGTTCAAACTGTGGTAGATCCGTACTGATGAAGAGTCCCACTAAATGAGGACGAAACAACCAGCTACCCAGTACTCTAAGTGATATCAGCTCGTGATCAAACTTCAAGCGAATCAACCCACCCCCCAGTACAAAAACTAATTCTTGAAATGTAATCTTTAAAATTTACTACTCAGAGTTAGTCGACACTAATTTCATTTTGGCAGGAATAAATGTGGAGGCGTACTGAAATAAAAACAATCCATCGCATATAGTCTAGTAATCACTGATCACAGTGTACACTTTGATCAATTAACAAAACGCAAAATAAAGAATGTGGTAAGTAAAGAAAAAAACAACACAAATCAACAATATACGCATATATATGTCTGCATAACTTACATAAAATCAAATTGACTACAGAAAATACCAAAATATAAAGGCAATAAATACTCAATGAATAGATGAATAGTACAAAAAAACGATAATTCCTTTGGCCAACACAATTTCCAATCCATGGACAATGATGATCGAAACGTTCTATGGATAGTGAAATGATGAAAAAATAAAACAGAAAAAAAGGAGGTGAGGGAGGGGAAGAAAGTTAGAAGAAGGAGGTTCACATCAATCATTCTGCATCACTGCTAGAAATAATAGGAATGACTTTTTTTAAACAGAAAATTCAAACATATCTGTAGCTTAGTGAATCACATACACACACACGAATTATAACTGGAAGAATTTGAAAGTCGCTCTATCTGCTGATCGAGGACTGAGCAGTCATATAGTATTATCAAACTCTACACTCAGTAAAATATGACTCGTTGTCAAATGCATGTAGAAGCAATTGGATATTGAATTAAATTTTGCATTTCATTCAAATTTCAGCCGAATCTGAGTATTATAAGCGTTTTGAACGGATGTATGCGTAACTATACAATACCAAGGCAGTAATATGAGAATATAAAAGGCGGATAAACTAACAAGGCTGTAACTACTCCTAAAAGTATGTATCTAAATATATTCAGTTATTATTTCGCTGATATATGGTAATCCATGTAGAATCTGGGAATAAACCAATCAGAATTGACCTTCATAAGTGATCGATGTCCAGTTTACGAATAAACCAATCAGAATTGACCTACGTAAAAAATAACGCCCACGATTTTGAATGAAGCAAGAACAACACAGTTTGTGCAGAAAAAAATACATGGTACCCATCATTTATTCCGCTGGCCTCTCATCATCTGCATACAGCCTAGACAGACTAATTAAGTTTGTGTACACAGAAACAATTTTAACACACTTGCAATTTTTACATGATGTCACTTGACAGAAAGTTCAAGTTCACACAAACAAAAAAAATCAGTGTATGCATACAATGGTAAAGGAGTTACGTAATAAAGACAAGAAGGTGAGCACGATGATGAGTAACTAATAATTCGAGTGACAATATATTGATTTTAACTCAAATC